AATTCTTCCAATTTATTTACGCTATATTGGTCTAAGCCGCAGCATTTCGTTGATAAATGGTAGTATTTACCACATACCCCTCCACAACGAATTGTCGCCGCATCTGTACGTATCGCACTTTTGCATTTGTCGCACCTTTTTTCCATTATAGACGATGCTGCGCGAGACACTTTGTCAACCACAAGCACCGCGTATGCTGTTCACTTTTTGCCAGTGATATTTGATATGCAGCCGAAAAACCACTTAACAATTTATGAAAAAAAGTCCTCCACGTCTCATTTTTTCAACTAATATTATTTATTTTAAAGATTTAACAAGAGCCTACAAAATTTGCCATTCACTCATTGCAGAGTTGCCAACTCGCTCTGGCTACTGCAGCAGGCTAAATTCCTACCTCAGTAGGTTAAATGCGGATGTGCCGAACGAATGTCCGGCATGCGGAGAGACCCCTCACGACTCGAAACATCTCTTCGCATGCCCGGAAAACCCCACAACCCTAACGGCGTCGTCCCTATGGACCGACCCCATAGAGGCTGCACGTTAGTGCAACCTGACGACAACGACTGAGATATTAGCCTATCTGGGCGGGGTTGTTGTAGCCGCTAAAACAACAACATCAAATATTTTTTTTTGCTTTTAAAATTAAAATTTAATTTTGTAAAATATTGACGGTTACTGCACCCCTCCTGATTTTTTATTGTTTTTCAAACGCCTTTCTGGGTACATTGGCTGCTGGTTTTCTCGGCCCATCAGTATATACATATCTGCACTCTAATGTTGGCGGATGTACTTTCAACGTACTGCCAATATAGAAGTATTACATGCAGTATCGGTCATATCTATAGCACGCCATTTCAAAGTGATATTGTGTGCCACTTATGTTTATTTATTTATTTTTAAGAATTTTCAATTAAAATACAGTTCATTCTCAGACAAACCGCATTTAAACCCAAGTGTAACAATTTGTAGAAAACTACAAAAAAGTGCAACAAATTTTCACCTAAATTTCAAACTTTTTTCTCGGAAGTGTAAGAATTTTTGTGAGTACACAGTTTTTTAGCCCCTTCAATTTTAGTCTGATAATGTGCAAGTTTCAAGTGGCTAAAAGTACCCGTGGATTTTTTAGAATTTTTTTCGCCAAAGGTGTTGCGGATTTCTTCCATATACAAATAAATTGAGTTTATTCATTATATGGAAGCCAATGGCGACAAAAAAAAAATCTAAAAAATAAACGGTAATTCGTAGCCACTTCAAATTTGCACATTATCAGACTAAAATTGAAGGGGCTAAAAAACTGTGTACTCAAAAAATTCTAACACTTCCGAGAAAAAAGTTTGAAATTTATGTGAAAATTTGTTGCACTTTTTTGTAGCGGTCTACAAATTATTAAGTTTGGGTTTGTATCGGGTTTGTCTGAGAATGAACTATATTTTAATTGAAAATTCTTAAAAATTAATAAATAAACATAAGTGGCACACAATATCACTTTGAAATGACGTGCTATAGATATGACCGATACTGTATATGGTTGAAATCAAAGTTAAATGTACTATCGGTCTGCATTTTCAGTTCTCCCATAGCTGAACGATTGGTTATCTTTATGGGCTGGTGTCTCCAACTCAACTTAACTTAGTTTAGCCATTTTTGGAGCTTTAGTCAAAAGTTAGCTTACTTTTTACACAGGTTATTCTTCACTAAGTCTAAAAAATTGGGTAAACTAAGTTAAGTTGAGTTGGAGAAACTAGCCCTATGTGTTCCTACGGAAAGGCTCAAGTTATCAGCTCGAAACAAGCGAAAACGCATTTTTGTAAAAGCTCCCTAGGGACCCATAAGGCGCCTAGGCATTTGGGAATTACATTTTTGATAACGGCAGTTCATACCCTCCCTAAAATGGGGTGTGGGTTGTGCGACGCCTCCTTTCCGCCCACCACGCACATAACCAAGGTCTTATATGTGTTCCCACGGAAAGGCTCAAGTCATCAACTCGAAACAATCGTAAACGCAAGTAAACAGTTTTGGTTTTTGCCCATTACAAATGGCTCCCTAGGGACCAATAAGGGGCCTAGGCATTTGGGAGTTACATTTTTGAAAACGGCAGTTCATGCCCTCCCTAAAATGGGGTGTGGGTGGTGTCACGCCTTCTCCCCTCCGTCCACCACGCACATAACCATTGGCCGTATATGTGTTCCCACGGAAAGGCTCAAGTCATCAACTCGAAGCAAGCGAAAACGCAAGGGTTTTTAAATTAAAGAAATTATCCCAAAGTGATTATCAGGCGAAAGAAGGGGGGCTGAACACCTTTCGCAGAGACCACCCTTCTGCATAGGTGGCCTTCGGCCGCACTTAGGCATTATAACCCTCACAAAGTAGAATTCTCTTTCTGTTTTGCGAAAAGGAGCTGAATACCTTTTGCAGAGAACACCTTTCTGCGAAGGCGGCCTTAGGCCGCACTTAGGGATTAAAACTCTCACAAAGTACAATTCTCTTTATGTTTTGCGAAAAAAAGGAGCTAAACACCTTTTGCAGAGAACACCTTTCTGCGTAGGCCTTTCGGCCGCGCTTAGGGATTATAACCCTCACAAAGTAGAATTCTGTTTCTGTCTTGCGAAAAAAAGGAGCTGAACATCTTTTTTCTTAGGCGGCCTTCGGCAGCACTTAGAGATTATAACCCTCGCAAAGTAGAATTCTCTTTCTGTTTTGCGAAGAAAAGGAGCTGAACACCTTTTGCAGAGAACAAGTTTGTATATTTTTAATGCTTACTGGGTTATATCCCATCTTCTTTTGTCTCTCATTCTTTTGCATATTTTGGAGTTTGACAGCTGAACTCCGGAATTTAATTTGCATATGGAACCAAAAAGTCAGACGCGCGATTTTGAAGGTGTTTTTATTTAATGAATTGTGATTAATTGGTTAATATTAAAGTTATAAAGAAAGTTATAACTAATCGAGTAAAGTGTAAAGTGAAGGGGAATATAAAAATATATTTGGTGAAGTGGCTGCTTTAAGGAGAATAGGAGTGATAAATGTACAATAATTTCCGAATTTAACAAAAAGGGGCATATTTCAAAACCCATTTGGAAATAAATTAGTGACCAAAAATTACAAAAGTGAGTGTTAAAATAATGTGTAGACCCTACAAGTGTGGGCAAATTTTTTTTGGATCGGGTCACCCCTTTGGACGCAATACCTCGAAATAGTTAGGCAACGTACTAAAGAGGACCCAAAGTTTTCCCCCAACGTTTGATGGATTTCGCCGACCTAAACGGGGTTAGATCGCCGAAACAACAGCCCTTGGTCGGGTAAAACCCGTCATTCCGGTACGTAGAACCGGCTGTCGTGGAAATGACCATGGAATGTTTGTTCTTGTATTGTTGCTACCACCTTGTATAAATTCGCTTTGCTCTACTTAGTTTCACTTGGACTATGTTAATCAAGGATAAAATGATACGAGACTCATCCTTGCTGTTAATAACTAAATAAAATAAATAAATACCTGTGCCAAATGGTCTAAGCCACCATAGTGAAAATGAAGTATTTTATACTGCGACTCTCTAGATACAATCACCAACTGCCCGGAAGTACAATTGTCGTCACTGAAAAATAAACGAAGCGAACGCATCTGGCTGAGATCCACAGAAAATCGTCGGCAAAATTTATTTTTTCGTGTTGCTGCAGTAGGACTTCCCTTAACTCTACTTTGTAATATATGTATTTTGGATGCAACGTGAGAGAGATTTTCGTCATCAAAGTAATTATCCTGTTTGATACCAATATTATTTATATCTGTTACCACACTGTTTAAAGAATGTTTAATATTATAATTTTCTATATGTGGATTAGAAATTGTTATGTTAACAGATGTTATATGACTTCGATTTAGTAATGCGTTGATATCTCGTATAGAATTAACTCGGTCTCCCAAAAGTGGCTGTAACTCATTTTTTAACTCTTGAATATCAGCAGAACAATCAATTTCAACATTTTGGCCGCCATGTGGATCTTGTTCTCCATTGGATTCACATAATTCAAGCGAGTTACTTGTACTAAAAGCAGGAACCGATTCATCTGGTTGAAATCTTTTACGTACGCTATTCATGCCATTTTCATTTAACTTTGATTTAGAGAATGAAGTGTTTGGAATCCACGTAAGCAACAAAGTTGAACGACGAGCTTCATTAAATTGATCTACGAAAGTCTTTGTAGTAACAGTCAGATATCCCGGGAAGTGAACCAGCTCAGTATGTTTTCTAACAGACGATGGATGTATACATACATTATTCTTGCAGAACAAAACTTCATTATCTTCGAAAGTGTGAGTTATATCACTTATCTTATCCCCGCCTAAGAGAAAATTCGAAGCTCTTCTGAATATGTTTACTATAGACATCATAAATCTGTAGCCCTTCGAAATTTTAATGAAAATATTTTAATTCAACCACCCAAACGAGTACAGAACATCGATACTTTTCATGAGTACTGAGTAATATCGACAGCTCGATACTTTTTGCCAATTTCTGAGTAGGTATCGCGGTAAAGTGCACTTTAGTGAAATCAGCCCAAAAATGATGAAAAAAATTCAAGAGGGGTTTCAATCGACGCGTTTTAGGGCCGGTTACTCAATGTCTGGTGAACACTAATCTCCGGTCGTAGTTATCGACGTTACCGACTCCCTGTTGTATGCATGGAGTCGAAAACGTCGTTAACGAGGTTTAACCGCAGATTAGTGTTAACCATACATTGAGTAACCGGCCCTTAATGCGAACAACACTAATCCGAGACCGTAAATTCACATTTTTTATTCATTAAAGAGTAATTCGCAAAAAAACCCTTGAACTTTTCGCACAATGTGGTGATGAATTTGACGCAAATAAATGGAGTAAATGAGCTCAACTGAACACATATTCATTAGTTTTTATACATTTGTGATGTTTTAACAGGTCTATTCTGCGCTGGTAATGAAGAGTTTGTAACCGGTAAATAAAGTTCCTGTCAATTTTTAAACCCTTCTCGCATTCAGGGCCGGTTACTCAATGTTTGGTTAACACTAATCTGCGGTTAAACATCGTTATCGACGTCTACTACTCCATGCATACAACAGGGAGTCGGCAACGTCGATAACTATGTTTAACCGACGATTAGCGTTAACCAGACATTGAGTAACCGGCCCTCAGTGTACTCCTGTAACCGGTAAATTTTGTTACCATCTCTTAGGGCCGGTTACTCAAGGTCCGGTTAACACTAATCTGCGGTTAAACATCGTTATCGACGTCTTCGACTCCGTGCATACAACAGGGAGTCGGTAACGTCGATAACTATGTTTAAACGGAGATTAGTGTTAACCAGACATTGAGTAACCGGCCCTTAAGCTGGTAACAAATTATTGTCCCGTAAAATATGCAATGCCAGGATTTGCACAATTCTTCATAGCTGAATCGCTGAATATTTTAACTGCATTACCAATTTGTTACCAGCTTATGCGATGGTAACAAAATTTACCGGTTACAAGAGTACACAGAATGCGAAAAGGGTTTAAAAATTGACAGGAACTTTATTTACCGGTTACAAACTTTTTATTACCAGCCCAGAATAAACCTGTAAGGGCCGGTTGCTCAAAGCCTGGTTGACACTAATCCCCGGTTAAACATCGTTACCGACGTTACCGACACCGTGTTATATGTATGGAGTCGAAAACGTCGATAACGATGTTAACCGGTGATTAGTGTCAACCAGGCTTTGAGCAACCGGCCCTAAGTGTACACTTTCGCGGGTAATTCTCTAGTGTAGGGTATCAACCCCTAAAAAAGGTCCGGAAAAGTCGGGAGGGGTACCAAACGGCGCGTTTCGGTCCCCCTATTAACAATCCGGAGTGGGAAGGCTAATATTATTAACCATTTAAAAGTTATGAACAAAAAACTTTTGTTAAATTTCGTTGTTTTCTATGGGCAATTGCACCGACAAAGATTTACTAAATCACCTGTTCTCACTTTTAAACACTATCCAAATATATAATTTAACTTATTTATTAAACAAACACATAGTTTTATCAACCTAATACTATGTCTCCATTGAGAGATTTATCCATTAAGATTTAATAAATCCAGTTGCTAAATCACAACCGTCTCCATTACCACAACGAGATATGTTTGACGTTCACATTTTTAAATATTTGACGTTTGCTTATGTATGATTTTATAAATGCAGTTGCGGACATTGATATACAGACAGAAAAAAAGAAAGGTACCAAGCGGAATTTCATTATATGAATTCTGAATATTATTGGCTTCTTATTCGTGGTAAATATGTATGTATAATATATAGTTTGGAAAGTGTAAAGAATGGTACCATATTCCGAATCATATTCCCGAATTTAAGAAAAATTATCAAAACGGTAAAAAACATTTGCGAAAAGAAAATTTTTTGTAGAATTCTCTTATTCATAGGGGGGACCCGAAAATCCAATCGTGGGCCGTTGGCATATCATGAATACGAACTGAGTTCTAGAGGATGTTCGGTGCAATGTTATCGAAGCAGAACCATTACCGAAATTTATGAATTTTTTGTCGCAGCACGTAAATGACTTATAGAAAGCGGAGAAGACTCTGCATGATATTACTATAAAACATTTCTTCTAAATTTTTAGTTTTTAAAATAATATTTTCTTAATTTATTACAACCAAAGTTATGTAAATATGTAATACTAATTTTCCTCCCAAACTAACAAAAATATAAAAATCCCTAAAAATACGAAAATTCATGTTTTTATGATAGGCGAGATTTCAATGTCCTCAACTGTATATTGAAAACACAAATGTCATTTGATTTCTGGCATGTGAATTTGTGGTTGCCACATCCAACAAATTGTACTTATTGATCAATATTATTGAAGATTTGACGAAGATTTAACTTAAATCTACTGCCTTTCGAGATTTAATTTTATATGGTAAATCTCAAAAGATTTAACGTCAAATCTCGTCAGAGGGCTAAATCTTCATTAAATCTCACAATTTAGACATAGTATTAATATGACTCAATCTCTCTTACAAAGTTGGTTTGGTCCAATACCCAGCCAAGTGCTGTAAAGCTGTTTTATATAAATTTTTTTCACCTAGTACACCGGATTAAAATCTGACAATTTTTGACTAACCTCTGGAGCTTGTACTTTAACTTGATATATAGCTCAATTCTGTAGCTGCTACAGATCGCCCTAACTAAGCCTTATTACTGAGTAATTTATATACGTAGATGGTTACCGTTACGTCGAGTTTCGCTCATTGTTTCGCATATTTTTCTCATATTAACCAAGACGTGGCCAAATTGTCCAATTTACTGTCCAATTCACTGTCTTCGAAAAATCAAAGACAGTGACGAAGACAATGAGAGAAGTGTGAATGTATTAATGAAAAAGTGTGAGTGTATTGCAATTGTCTTGGCAAAATTGTCTCATGTAAACGCCTGCTAAGGCATATTCTACTACCGGGTAGAGAATTTTTCTGTCCTCTGATATTTCTTAGGGCCGGTTACTCAATGTCTGGTTAACACTAATCTCCGGTTAAACATAGTTATCGACGTTACCGACTCCCTGTTGTATGCATGGAGTCGAAGACGTCGATAACGATGTTTAACCGCAGATTAGTGTTAACCAGACATTGAGTAACCGGCCCTTAATATTGTATACCTACATCGAAGGTAAACTTCAAAGGGGGGCTCGAGCCCCCGTCCCACTAGGTAGCGATGCCTATGGTTACAAAGATCTAGCCACGGTCTAGATGGAATTAATTTTGTCCAGATAATTTCCGGCCGGGATGTTAATCCAAAATTTAAAGCCGTTTTTCTATAGTTTTTGGCTTTTACCGGCCGTCTTCCCGTGCTTGAAAATCTCGCTTGCGTTCTGCTTTTTTCTCTCGCAAGCGAGATAGAGTTTGACTAGGCATTTGACAGCATAGTTTTTTCATTTGTAAAATGCATTTCCACGACTGCCGGTTGTATGTACGGGAATGACTTGGGTTTTACCCGTCCAAGGGCTGTTGTTTCGGCGATCTAACCCCGTTTAGGTCGGCGAAGTATCTCAGAAGTTGTTCGTCCATAGGGCTAGATTTGATACGCATTCTTCTGCTCAGAGTAAACTCGTGGCCAGAGAATTACACCTGCTGTGTATGCCAGAGAGACGACTACACCACAACTCCACCTCAGTCAAGTGCAGTGCTTGCGACGGGAGGAGTCACCTCAGAGTCTGCTCAGGACTACGGACCCATCGGCAGTGGACCACATCATTTGTGGCCCCATGCTGCTCAAACAGAGCAGCCTTCACGGCTAGCCCCAGTCCACCTGAGCAGCTGAACAAAAACACCACAACACAATAGACCAAACCACACCCACGACATACCACACAACAGACACAACCGCACCACCACCAACAACTCCTGGTTCTGCCTACAATCTGCACGGTACATCAGACCAGGATATTCCGTAACGTGACATCAGTCAAGTGCAACACCTGCCTTGGCTGGTGCCACTTTAGGGCATGTTCAGGTCTGGGCACCACGCGAGATTTGACGAGGAATTTCGTGCACCCGTCTTGCGCCGCTCGGCCGCAAACCCCAAGCGCTACACCACCCACTACCACCTCAGGACGGCAACCTCTATTGCAGGGCACACAGCCAATGGCGGCAAGGCCACACACATCCCTCACACCCCGCATAACAACACGTCTCCCAAACCACATGAAGCTCCTTCATTTTAACTGTAACGGACTTCAGAGCAAGATCGAGGAGATAAACGTTTTCATGGGAAGGCATGGTATAGCTGCAAAGTTGCACAGCAATTCAACATTGTTGAATTGTGCCGGATACAACGTGCACCGTCGAGATCGCGAGAGAGATAATGAAGGTGGCTTAGCGTTCATCATGCACCACACCGTGCAATATCGACTTATTGAAGCATACATCGACCGCAGGGATACCACCCTAAAATGTCAGGGCATTGCTATCCGGTCAGGCGATATTGAGTTCGAAATATTTAACGTGTACATACCCCCTGTCACCTGC